ATAGCTAAGAATACAGGTTTGCAGGCATTTCCAAAGCCCCCTGAACTCCAGAAAAACCTAACTCTTGCTACCACTGTTCAAACCACTTCTGAAGGTAAATTGAGTGGGCTAGCTTAACTGTTCAACAGACAGAACAATATTGCTTATTGTAGCGTAAATAATCACATTGGATATCTATTCTTATAGTTCTTTGTGTAATATTCCAGGAAATTCCAGGTAATGTTAAGCTATGTGTGTATCATTACACTATTTCACGATTCTGATAGAATAAGCTGTAGAAGTAAGCAACACAACATGAGAGGGAGTGATGTTATTCTGAAGATCATTATGGTGTGATTTGGTGTAGATGCTGAAGACAATCACAGCCTAATAAGGGAGTGCTCCAACTCTTCCAGTCATCGATCACACCATGAAAGTGATAGAGAGCTCTCCATTTCTACTTCTAGACATGGTAAGTTAATCAACTTTTGTTGATTACAATTGTTGGCTACCTGACTGTGGTGTGAGTTTCCTGTTTATCCCAAAGGGGAAACAGAAAGCCAGCATTTATAAATTACATACACTACTGTACATTTGCAGAAACAGTGGTCCATAGTGTGTGCATACCCATGAAGATGCCACTGCATATAAAAGTATATGTGCCTACATGTGGCAGACTGAAATAGTCTGTTGTAAAGCATATGTGACCAGTGCTGGCAAAATGAGTCACAATGAGCAAATTTTCACAAATAAATTCCATTAAATCTATATGATTTGTTGGAATCGGACGAAAAATGACTGAGCTACACCCATTTGATGTCGGCGAAGTCAGCAAAGTAACTTCTGGGAAAAATCAAGTTAATGTTTTCTGAAGGTTCTAAAGCAAAGTCACCTAGCAGCATTGCATCTTTTCCTCCACTTCCTTTATTAATATTAATTACTATATTAATAATCATCAATACTACAGCGAGAATAAAAGTTATGCCTTCTTTCTTTGCGTGAACATTTGGCCGGTGTTATGCAAATCTTCCCACACAGTGACATAGACATGTGGCGGCGTGTTTAAACAAGGCGTTTTTGGAGGGCGTGGACAAGTCTTAACTTTTATAAAGAATATCTCTTTGGATTTAAGACTTTAGTCTTTGCAACTTTACAGATCTTCTTTATGCACCAAGACCTTGTAATACTCCAAAGAGAAAGGAAAATTTTAAATAGCATCATATGACCCCTTTAAGACCTGCACTGCACGGATCAAATATAATGCAACACATCAGATGTTTTTCCCCTACAGTTACCTAAACATTCACTTAAGTCATAACTGATTATGTTTGCGTGAATAGCCTATGTAACTACTGTAATTCTGTGTATACAGTATGTGTACATTTATTGGGATCGCTAGACGAGGGCTTAATAATCGAATTTTTCGTGAAAACCTGAAATTTGACCAAAATCTACATTTTCCACTTATTTCTGTCTGTAGCTCAAAATTAGCCCGTGCGCATTCACACTCATTTTGCCAGCACAGGTCACATATATATGTGTGTGTGTGAGATATTGTGTTTAATAAAAATAACAACAACAACAATGTTAATAATAGCAATAATTGTATTATAAATGATAAGTCACAAATGTACTGTAAGAGAATACCAATGTTTTTTATGTAAAAAAAAAACAACAACTAAGATTTCAATGCTGTGACAGAGTTGTTGGTGAGTTTATAATGTAATACTTTTGTCATAGTGTTATTTAATTACATTATGTGCTCAAGATTGTATTAGATTTTGAGAAAATTATCACATACACTTCATAAACTTCATTATAGCCCCCACATGATTGTAAAAAGCGCTTTGGGTGTACAACAATACACATTAAAGCACTATATAAATGCATCATTCATTCATTCGATACAACCGGAGCACATGCCGCTGAGCTGAGGGGCGGGACGATTAGACGCGCACTAGAGGCGGTTTAGCTAATCACAACACACTGGGCTAGCTAACCAATCAGAGCCCATCACCTATTTCTGAGGGCGGGGCTTAAAAAACCAGGAAAAGATCAGCCCGTTTCTCAGAGAATGGACAGAGTGGTGTGGAATAAAGGTAAATTATGTGAAAAAATAGAGCTGGCAGGGTTTTTTTTTAAACGCATGTTATACTGCACCCCATAAACACAATCAAGCCTAGAAAAAAAACTGAAACCCTTTAACTTGTGCGTAATGACTTTATGACTTTATGTAATTTCAGTGCTTATCTCCATTAATGAGAATGGAATATTTAATGTAAATATATGTGATGAAATGAAAACAGTTTAAAATCGTTGTTTACTTCATTATTTTTCTCTCTCCAAGAATAAAAGTCCGTATGCATGGGTCAAAGTTTGCGTGCAGGTGCACACATTTTCCCGTCAAGTTTGTTTTTTATAAATCACACCTTTTGCGTATAAATGAGGCCCCTGATGTGTTTTCAAAGTGTTCCTTTAATTTTTTTGAGCAGTGTACATGCATTCCCATATGTGTAGTACATCATGTTTCCATAGAAAGAATGATCATTCCTATAATTATTCCACCAAATTATACAATTTGAGCTTCAAACACTTTCTCCGGTCCCAATGTTACAATTCAAGCCAAAGCAACAGAGGGACATCCCAAATTAAAAAAAGAAAAGAAAAAAATGAGTTATTGTGTATTTTAAATATGGATTTTATGCATACGGTATAAAGAGACAGAAGGCACTTCACTTCACATTTTAAATCACCCTTGGGTTCATCTACTGGAAATTATT